GAATCAGTTATACATATACATATGTATAACTGATTCACTTTGTTATACAGCAGAAACTAACACACCATTGTAAAGCAATTATACTCCAATAAAGATATAAAAAATAAAATAAAATAAATAAAATAAAATGGATAACTGGGACTTCCCTGGTGGTCCAGTGGTTAGGATTCCATGCTTCCACTACAGCGGGACACAGGTAAGAATCAATACACGTATATGTGTAACTGAACCACTTTGCTGTGCACCTGAAACTATCACAACATTATTAATCAACTATACTCCAACAGAAAATAAAAAGGTAAACAAAAAAAATAAAGGGCTGGAACTCTCAAGACGAAGACGTTGCTTACCCAGAACCCAGAATGGAGATTCCCTTTTCAAGGCAAAGCCTGATTGGTAGAGTTGCTGAAGGTGAAAAGTCACTGCTCACGAGGTGCATTCCATTCACTGAGTAAATTTCTTCAGCATCTACTATGTTTCACATATACAATTTCATGTGGTTCTCACAGCAGTCTTTAAGAGGTCAATATTATACCCATTTTACAGTTAAGAAACAGAATCTCAAATAGATTAAATGATTTGCCCAAGATCCCTCAACTGGGAAGTATCTGGATCCCATAAAACCAGACTCCAAAGCTCATTCTCTCTAAATTGTCTCACTCCCTCTGGTACCTCTGGAGAGGGGTAGGTCATGTGTCACAGATGAAGATACAGTGTGGCCAAGGCAGACAGAGCTTCTTAAATGTCACTATCAAGGAGTTAGGCTGGCTATGGCATTGCTGATGAATTTTGACAAGTGCCAATGACACAATAACAGTAATAATAATAATACTTAAGAATTATTAACTTCCAAGAGCCAACCATGAGCTGAGTGCCTTATATATATCTCATTTGATCTTTACAACGACCTTAAGTGTTAGGTACCATTACTATAATTATTATTTTCCCAATGAGGAACTCGAAGCTTAGAAAGTTTAAATAACTTGTGAACCCAATAAATCCAAATCTGTCTGAGCTGAGGGCCTGTACCCTTATAATTGCACTTCTTTTCTTGGGCAAGAGAGGAAGATGGTGATGATGTTAAGATGCAAGGTCAGCTGAAGGTCAGTTGGTGGAAGTATAAGGACCAGGGACGTGAGAGTAGTCAGCCGAGGGAAAAATGTTCTCTAGCTTGAGCTGGTGGGGCGCTACCCAGGTGTGTACAGGTGTAAGCCAAAGATCAATGCTCTTTAATGTATGAATTCAATACTTTGATGAAACAAAGTTGAAAAAAGAAGGAGTGAAGGCGTTTACAAATAAGGGGGGGCACCAGAACACGTTGATGTGGCCACATGTGTTCACTTACTTCATCTGATACAAGTTATTGGTGCCTCTGTGGTCAATGTCATGGCAGAAGGCAGCAGCAAGCATGGCAAAGGCTTCAAGATCCGTGTAGTATTTCTTCAGTCTTCCTGTCTAAAACAATAGACATACATATTTACTAGGATTAAGGCACCTCCGCGGCATGTGCAGTGAGGCTGGCCTGCAATGGAGAAGGGGGCCTGCTGTGTTTTTAGAGCAAGCTGGCTTTATTTCTTGAGGACTGTAGCTCATTCTGGGCAGTTACAAACCCAGCAGGTAACTGAATTTTCCTTTATGGATATAAGGACACGAGTGTCAGAGTGATAATTCAACCAAACGCCCAGGGATACCCCCATACCCTGGCATCGTCTCCAGGGGGGTTGGGGGTTTATGGGACTGTATCCATTTCTCAGCACGCTCAGGAGGGAGATGCACAGGTTCATGATGACCCACAGGCTCTGTACCTACCATCAGCAAAGTGAACATCGTCTGCCCCACATTGAACCCGTGTCGCCAGTTGTGGTAAGTGACGGCACGGTACCCCTTCCTCACCGTGTACATCCATCTGGTGAGAACCTGCCACCAAAGGAGACACCACCACTCAGACTTTGGAGTAGAATTCTAAAGGTAAGAAGGTCTGTGACAACCTTATCTGAAAAGATAGGTTGGCCTTGTTTACAGGGTTTAAGTGGACAAACTGACGAAGTTAATGATAATTTAAAATCCACACTGCAGGGAATCTTCTGAACCACAGCAAATTTTAGTGGAGTACAGCCACAGAATCACAGCATTTTAAATTAAATACCATCTGACCTCTACAGGTACTTTGAATTTCTCCACCACATTTATTTCAAGAAACAGCCGAAGTCCACACTTAATCAGTTCGTGCTCTGTGATGGGGAAGTCGCTGAAGCGGAATTCATACAGGTCTACGGCCTGTGGGTCTGGTAGGTCCTCTTTCTGTTGAAACAAGGACCAAGTTTACATTCATTTATTTCCTTTTAGTCTCATATACCCGACACTGGACATAAAACAAAATTACAATAAAAGGATGCCACATGCAATTCACTGAGCCTCTACTTGCCCAATACTGGGTTATGCCTTATTATCCTAACAAACCTACACAATGATCCTCAGTTTCCAGATGGTGAAACTGAGGCCCAGCTATACTAAGAAGCTTTCTAAGTGAAGGCATTCAATTCTAAATCAGACCCCAGTGGCTATTTTCTTTCTTTGATGCAAGATAAAATGTTTACTTGCAGCAGCCTAAGCCATTTTCAATACTCAACTTTTTTCCATTCCAGAAATATTCAGTAAACAGTAAACAATGGCTTAATTCGATTCTATCGTATTATCTTTACCTATTCAGTGATGCTTTCCTACTCGTCTGTGGGCTCCATAAGGATGGGATCTGGTCTGTTTTATTTGCTGTGGTATCTCAGAACCTGTAGGGCCTGTCCCATGGAGGTGCTTGGTAAATGTCTGTTGAGTGAATGAATGAATGAATGCCCCGCAGTGTACTGGTACACTTGCAGACATCTCATTTAACCCACCCCCCTGTCAGGATTTAGGACTAGGTGAAAAAACAGTGAATTAGTCCCATGAATATTAACATGGCTTGGGAGATAAAAATATGCATCTTGGCCTTAAGGAATTTAACTTACTAAAATGGTTATAAAATACAGACCAGTGAAAGGTGAGAGCTTAGAACATTCCCAGAGCACAGAGTCAGTGCCAGGGCTGGGAGAAATTGCAGGCAGGCTGGGGGAAGTGAAGGAGGAGAGACTCTGGAGGGCTGTGTATTCAGCTGATCTGGTAGAAGGCAGGTCAGAGACAGTCCCACGGGAGGAGAGAAGCAGGCGAGGGCTGTGTGGGTCCAGCAGATGCAGGAGCAATTCAGTTCAGTGGGTATTTACTGAGCCCATTATAAATCCTTAATACTGTGCTAAGATCACGTCCCTCAGTAAGTTCAAGGTTTCCCAGAGGATGATTCATGCTCTATTTGTACAAATGTCAACACCAAATGGTATATGGCTCTTTTAAGTACAATTATGGTTTCTGTTCCCCTAACCCCCGAGTCTGGGCTGGCCCCTCAAACCCTTGCCCTTCTCTTCAGGGAACTTCCTCGTCCTCCTGTGCCCCCTTCTCTTCAAGGCCACTCTCAGACTGTCACTTTAGGCAGAGATCTCTCTCCTACAAAGCTATGGCTTGGAGCCAGGAGACTAGTATTCAGTTCTGGGTTGGTATTAGCTATTGGGTTGGCCAAAAGGTTCGTTCGGGTTTTTCCGAAAGATGCTACCCAATACATCAATGTTCTCATCTGTGAAATGGGAGTGACAAGAGTAACATTTTTGTCTTCGTTGTTTTAATGAAACAGCAGTGCCAATTTTATTTGCATGTGTCAAAGAAAATTAGAGGGGATTCAACCCATGGCCCCTAGTAACACTTCACAAAACTCCTTTCTCATAGGACCTCCTGTGTCCTCTGCCAAAGCCTTCTCATCACTTTCTCTCTCTTCAGACCCTCCCAGATTCCTTGCCCAAAGGGGCTCTTTTTCTGCATTCATTTTTATTCATTCAACGAACATTTATTGGTTCCTATCTGTGTTGTAGGCATTATGGATAAAACAATGAAGAAAGCAGACATTGTCACTGCCCCTGAAACACACATTCTCGTGGGGAGAGACAAAAAATAAGCACATCTTTTAAAAAATCAGACTAAGAATTACGGGGTACGGTGAGGGGTGCCCAATGCCCAGAACCTCCCTGCTGGAGGTCGCCTCAGTCCTGCTGTTCCCAGAGTATTATGTAAAGATCAAACGTGAAAATGCTTTTTAACGCGTTATCAGGTCAGTCACACTAAAGCGTAAATGCGCATTTCAGCAGGAAACAAAGTAAGAAGTTCTCAGAATTATGACTCCCAGCCCCCATTTACAATTACAGGTGAACCGATAAAACAATACTACAATATGGCAATCACAGATTTTGAAAAACAGCAGTCATGCAGCAGTGATACAGAGAGGCTGATAGAAATAAAGGCTTTTGATTCATCTGATAAGTAGGAACTCAGGCCCCAAAGGCTGGTCTTCCCTTCCCTGAAGGAACCCACAGCTGAGGTGGAATGAGAGGGGGGAGGCTGCTGCCACCCCATGTGCCATAACATGGTGCCACCCACCTGCTGCATCCCGGCTGGCTGACTCCCTCTGCTCCAGGAAGAAGCCCCTGGGTATCTGATCAGGTCCCTTCGCAGGTCCCAGTGTGCCAGGCTGCCATGGTCTTGTCCCACCGCCCTGCCAGGCCTCACGGGCTGCTCCCCTCTTCCGCTCACTGGGGCTCCAGCCATACCCAGCTGTCTTCGGTCTCCTGTGTCCCCACGCCCTGGTCTGCACTGTCCTGCTTCCCCTTCCCATCTCCAGCCATCTCCAAGCCCCCATTGTCAATCTCTGCCCAGCCGATTCCTGCTTTCCCTGCAGGCCTCCATGCCATGGCCTCATCTCGCAGTCTATCATCTTCTGTGAGTAGAATCAGGCCCTTATCCTCCCCAGGGCCCTTGGTGCTCACACCCTGTGAACCCATTCATTCAAGGCAGTGTCACTGCTTGTATTTTTTGTCTCCCTAATAAACAGGCGGCTTCTTGAACCAGGTGAAAACCAGACCACACTATCTTTTGCCCTCGAGGCTTAACAGTTCCTTGTATCATAGGACGTTTCAGTAATTACTGAATGAATGAAAAACAAAACGGAATAAAGGAGGACTGAGTGAGGTACTTCTCTGGGACGCCCTGTCCTCATCTCCCATGGTCTGGTAAACGTGAGCTGCAGGGCATCCGCGAGTGAACTGAAATGTCCTGGGAAGCAGAGGGGAAGATGGGAGGACGACTTTCCCTACTTCCTTTGCCCAAGTCACTGCACTGCTACCTCAGTGCTTCCCAGCCCAGCAACGTGCACCTGCTGTTATACCTATAAAAGAGGACCACACCTTCCCTGAAATGAGAGTTAAAATGCATCCCTGCAGAAAATCATGGTTAAGTGGAGATGCATAAATATTTATGTAGCTTGGAAATTATGCCAATAGTTTTGGAGAACCCCTCTGAAATATGGTTGTTTCTTGAGTTAAGTTTTATGCGGCAATGATTTGGGATGAGCTTAGAGCACATTTTACACTCAAAATAGGCCGTTTCATTGTAAAGCTACTGGTTCTTTGCCCATTTTATTGCTTCTCCATCATAAGACCCTTCCTCCTCCAAATAGAGAACTAGAAAATTTCCAACATGCCATGGATGTCAATTAAAGCTTTTTTTTATAAGAAGATAAGTTTTGTTGGGGGTAAATGAGGAGAAGGTGTCATCTTCTGGGCCAAGTGTGAGAGGAAAGTGCTCAGAGGTAAAGCCAAAGAGAGTGAGAGAAAGAGGAAGAGCCTCAAGTGACATGAAGACATAAAGGTGGGAGCAGATCCCTCAAAAAGGGGTCACAGGCCACTGGCTCTGTGGTGGTACAGCCAAGGGCCAGGATGGGAGGACAGAGCCCATAAAAATGGGAATGCAGAAGGTGAGATATTCAGTAATCTTAGTTCAGAAAGAAGAACATATGTCATGGATTGGAAAGGGGCAGTGGAAAACAGGAGGAGGTCGTTAGGGAGGGAAGTAAGTGTGATATGATTTCAATTTCGAGCAGATTGTATTCAAGCCTCTGAAATTCAAGGTCTAGGGGCCTTGGTAATCCCAGGTTCTTAATTGGGATCCCAGAAGGGCCACGCTCTAGAAATAAGGGCTCTACCCTAGTAGCAAGAGCAAAACTGAAATAGACCACCCCTAACAAAATCTAAAACCAACTCCTTCACCTGCCAGAAGAAACTCTAACCCTTTGAACAGAAAGATAATATCACCCAGAGCCCCTACAAATCCTAATCCACAGTGTCTGGTTTTCAATTTAAAAACTATGAAGTATGCTTTAAAATGATCAAATGACTAAAACCCAAGAGTAAAAATAGACAGTAGAACCAGACATATAGGTGATTCAGGTATCTAGATGGAGAATTCAAAATCACTATGGTGAATAAATTTAAGAAGACAGAGAGATAAAGTAGATTAAATGATGTAAAGTTTTAGCACAGAGTTGGAATCTTTAAAAAAAAGAATTAAATATACATTCTAGAACTGAAAAAGATAATCTCTGAAATTAAAAATTTACTGGATGGGTTTAACAGTTGATTGTAGAACATGTGTTTGGGTGGGTTTAAACAGTAGACACAACAAAATACAGGCTTAATGACTAGAAGAGAAGTTATTTCAACTAGATATAATAGGGGTGACCCAATGGCAACAATAGGAAGGAACTGAATTCCTCCAGGATCCAGAAGAGAAGCTAGCAATGTCAGCTGATAATGGTGCCTCTAAGGGTCTATCTACACTCTATTGTAATTCTGCCGTGTCTTCCAGGGTGGCCAGGCTGTAATCCAGAGCTATTAAAATAAACCAGGCCATGCTACCCCTAGAGTCTGTGCCTGCATTCCCTTATGCAGTAATCTAGTTTAACTATGATTCTAAGTTACCTTTGTGGATTGTACTGTAGGGGACAAACAGAAAGAAAAGCAAGGACCCAGAAGATCACTCTGTAGAAGAAATCTCTTTCCTTTTTAGCTTTGAAAGGTGCCAGAGAAGAGGAAACTCAACACTAACTTGAAAAATGAGAACAAGTGTCCTACTATATTTTATTTAAAAGGCATTAAGGATAGAAGTAAAACACTTACCAAAATTGTGACAAGTTGGTTTTCTTCACAGTCTTCAATTACATCTATATTTAACTTCTCTTTAAATTTCTAAAATGTAAAAGCAAAGGAGGTGTGAAATTGCTATAAAGTTGATTTCTATCTGATTCCTTTACTCTTAAAATCAGTTAAAATAAACTATGTTGTAATGAGTTCCATGAAAGATGCATTCTGGATACAAAGAAGATCTATAGCACTTGATTATTTAGAATTTTCTCTAAAAATTAATTAATCTCTCTTTTCTCCCCAAAATGTAACAGTAGCTGTCTCAAAAAAAGAGAGAGAGAGGGAGAGGGTGAGGGAGACATCAGTTGTTTGCATGTAGGCGAGAAAAATGAATGGCTTACATCTGTTTTTCTTTAGTTTATAGCAATTTCCCTTTATTCTCCCCAGACATTTTCATCTTCAACATCTCAAACTCTCAAATCAAATTTCTTTTAAGTCTCAAACCACCCAGCAAAACCAAAACCAACCAACCAACCAAGCCATCAAACAAAAACACCCCAGGAAAACTACATCCACACACACTCTGAAAGCTTTTGAAATAAAGGAATAGAGACAGTAGGTGTGTTATATTTTCCCTTCATTTGGTGGTGATTAGAAGAACACTGTTAGTGAATATCTACTTGCTCTCCAATCATCCATGATGCTGATCTTGGTCATGTTTGTACCTTGAAAATTTTAGTGAATTTGATGTGAGGAAAGAATTGAAACGAGCTTGCACAGCTGGGCTTGCTCTCTTGTACTTGTCATCACCATGAGAAGAACATCTATCAGGTAGCTGCTGATCAAGGATGATAGATGCAGAGAGCAAACCAGACGCACAGCTTGGAGCCCAGCCCAACCAAGATTAGTTGAAATCTGGTCAACCCACAAACTCATAAGTGAGAAATAAATGCTTATTGTCATATACCACTGAGAGGTTAGGGTTGTTATACAGCATTACACGGCAACAGCTGACATTTCGCTCCCTAGAAATATTTTTTTCCTTGCTAACACTCTTGAATCTAGACCTCACTACTCCAGCTCCTACAGAGCTATTTTTAACAAAGTGCTATTCCAACCAAGCAGCCTGGAAATTCAGTAAGGCTCTGTGTACTGTGGACCACTCAGGTTCCCCTCAACCCCTCCTTCTTTGTTTCTCCCCTCCTAGCCCAGGACTAAACCTATTCTCATTTGTCAGACATCCGGGTAATTAGGCGAATTCCAGAGGCCATGGTTAGATAGCATCTAATGTCACAGGACGAATTCCTCACTTACCAAAATGGACTTGATTTCATCAGGAGTAGCTTTGGTGTGGTTCATGAGCATTTCCTGGGCTATGTCCTTTCTGTTTACTAGTTTATTCATTTTCTCATAGGTGTCAGTATTTAAAAGAGACCATCCAAGAAATTGTGTGAGAGTCTGAAATAGATACAATGTGATTCGATTCTCTAAACCTAAAGAAAAAATTATTTGGAGGCAACAGTTTGCATGCTTTCCTATCAATCAATCTCCCTTCCACCATCAACAACCCAGTTCCTTGTTTTAATCTAAGGAACAAAAAGTACAATAATCAGCGCCAGACAATAAAACTGGCTAAGCCCTTGCTTTTCAAAGTGCTCCATGCACCGTGGATACTTTATTAGAGGAGAGGAATTACAAAAATCCATAGATAAAGCATGACCTGAAAATCAGAGAGGGCTGGAGGTGGCAGCAAGGGTGAGAGGTGATAGAAGGGGAGTAGGGAGAAAGGAGAGAGAGACCTTTCCCCAGTTCCCTAGTACTGAAAAGAATTTTGATTAAGCCAAAAGTTCACTTTGGTAGAAAACGGTACAGTTTACGGAAGTCAGGAAACAGAAATGACGCAGTAACAATATATTGACTGCAACCATGTGTGACTCACGTCTTAATTGCCCTTCAGAAACATCATTCCAGAATAACAAATAATTATGCATCTTCTATTATTTCATGCATTTCATCTACCTCCATTATTTTATAATTGCACTTACCTCAGTGATGTGTTCATCATACTCATCAAAAGGCTTTCCATCCTTCCTGTTGTAAAATGTAGCTACACCCACGATGTCTTCTTTCTTGTTGACAATAGGCAGGGACAAGACATTTTTAATGACCCAACCAGTCTCATCTACAGGTCCTTTCTACAAACGATAAAGACACTAAGGTTATTTTTTAACTTTTTTTTTTTTTGAAATAACTATAGGTACACAGCAGGTTGCAGAAGAAATGTACAGAGAAGTCCCATGTACCCTTTACCCAGTCTTCCCCATAACATCTTGTGTCACTATGGTACACTAACAAGACCAGGGAATACATATTGGTACAATCCATGGAGCTTATTCAGATTTCACCAGATTTATATGTATTTGTGCACGTGCGGGGGTAGGCAGGAGTGTTTCTATGCAAATTCATCACATAGGTAGATATGTGCAACCTCCACTAGAACCAAGATAGAGAACTAATCCATCATCACGGGGCTCCCTTGCCCTACCCCTTTATAGCCACTATAGCCCTCACTATTCCCCACTTAGGTTATTTTCAGTTTAAAGAAAGAATAATTGGGGGGTGTTAGATGCACAATTCCTGTGTTGTATCAGAACATGGCTAGAACTATACAGCCATAAAAGTGCTGTAGTACATTTAAGTGTCCTAGAACCAAGTGTCTGTATTGTGACAACCCTACCCTCTTCTCTTTGACCTCTCCCGCTCCAGCCCTAGGGATAGGAAGCATTTACCTGTGTTACCTCAGTGTTCCCTGTTTATTTCTTCTGTCCTTCAAAACCTGTTTAGCTAAATTCTGCTTTCCTGACCAATCCATCAAGATCGTTTTTTGTTCTGTGGTGTGGTTCCACTTAGTAAACATCTGTCAATCCCCACGATGTTTCAGGACCTGGGCTAGTTGCTGGGGGTGCAAAGGTGAATAAATCACAGTCCCTAACCTCAAGATAACAGTCTAGTAGGGAATGCTGACACAGAAGTTCAGGAGTGTTTCTCAAAGTGTTGCCCAAAGATCAAGGGCAACAGATTTTTTTCTTTTTAGCTCGTTTCATAATCTCTGGGCATGCATCTTAAATAGGCTCCCCAGGTAATTCTAAAGTCCTCCGAAGCCTGAGAACAATGGTGTGGCACCTGCACAGCATGCAACAAGGCAAAGGTAGCCAAGCACCCATCACGCCAGGCTATTCCTTCTTCTGCCTGTCCTCGGCTTAGTCATCCTCAGAGGCTCTGGTTAAGTCTCACCTCTCCCTTGAAGCCTTCTCTAACTTTTTTCACCCATATGGAACTTTTCTTTTTCAGAACTCCATCAGCACTTCTAGACTTGACCGTACAATTTAGCATTTAGATAATTTCCAAATGCTTTGGAACTTTTGACTGTTGTCTCTGAGGCTATTTTCTAATCTTACCAAAGAGCTGTTTCATAAACTGTTCAATTCTACCTAAGTGACAGGACGGTGCTGGGCATATAATGGATGCTCAATAAACAACTGCTTATTAGTTGAAGAGCTTGCCTTTATACTTAGAATGAAAAGCAGAGAAACCAAACCTCAATTCATGCTTCCTAACGGTCAAAGCTTTGGGGGAAAGAAAAAGCAGTGCACAGTGGTTCTCAAAGTCTTCATTTTTGGAAACTACTATGAAATGTTTATATACTTATATCCTCACAAGGATGAGAGACAACATCAATAACAGAAAATAATACCTGTGTGCAAGGTAAGCACCTGTGTATTTATTTTTAAAAAGCTTCCAAAATAAGCTTTACTGACTGCCTCTGTTTTTTCAGTACATATTCAGTTGGTACCTGTTCATGTTCATGTCTCTTGCTATTAAGTTAGAGCTTGTTCACAGAAAAGTGATAGAAGGAACTTAAGATTTAAGAAAAATAGGACAAAAACTTAAGACAGAAAATTCTATGTACTTTTTCTTCTGTGAATTGGGATCACTTTAATTCATGTTAAATGAAGAGCCCCTTACACCCTGAAGACGTCCACTTCCTAATCCCTGGAATCTGTGAACAGGTTACTTTAAACGGGGAAGGCGTATTAAACCAGCAGATGGAATTCAGGTTGTCAGTCAGCTGATCTTAAAATAGGGAAATTATCCTGGATTTTCCAGGTGGACCCAATGTAATTACAAGGATCCTTAAAAGTAGAAAAGAGAGTCAGGATCAAAAATCAGAGAAGGAGATATGACAGCAGAAGCAAAGTCAGGGCGATGTGACTGCTGGCTTTGAAGATGGAAGGGAGCCATGAGACAAGGCAGCTTCAGAAGCTGGAAAAGACAAGGAGACAGGTTCTCCCCCCAGATCCTTTAGAAAGGAACACAGTCCTGCCAGCACCTTGAATTTAGCCCGGTGTGACGCATTTTAGACTTCTGACTCCAGAACCGTAAGATAACTCAGCTGTGTTGCTTTAAGCCACTAAGTGGTAATTGTTACAGCAGCAACAGGAAGCTAATATGTACACCCTGCCCCCAAGAAACGCAGCTTGAGAATCATTGCCTTTGCAGGTTTGTTCTGACCACAGTTCACTTTGAATCACTGGTTTTTTCATTAAACTTCTCAGGTGCAAGAGGGACTAGTGAGAATGGAGGTGGGTGCAAGCAGGTGGACAGAATGAGAAGGCCCAGCAGGGTGGAGGTTTGCGGAGGATGGGCACCCTATCCTGAGTCTGCCTTTTGGAATGATCCACAGGGGCAATGCATGTGAGGGAAAACAGAGAGGGAGGCTGAGAGCCCATTAAGATGCAGTCCTGGGCTTCCCTGGTGGCACAGTGGTTAAGAATCCACCTGCCAATGCAGGGGACACGGGTTCAAGCCCTGGTCCAGGAAGATCCCACATGCCGCGGAGCAACTAAGCCCGTGCACCACAACTACCGAGCCTGCGCTCTAGAGCCTGTGAGCCACAACTACTGAGCCCGCATGCCACAACTACTGAAACCTGCGCTCTAGAGCCCATGAGCCACAACTACTGAAGCCCGCGTGCCTAGAGCCTGTGCTCTGCAACAAGAGAAGCCACTGCAATGAGAAGCCCGCACACCACAACTAAAGAAAGCCCACACGCAGCAACGAAGACCCAATGCAGCCAAAAATAAATAAATAAATTTATTTTTTAAAAAAAGATGCAGTCCTGACCCCGGGGCTAAGGACAGAAGGAAGGATGGAGAGCTGGGTGGGAGTGTCTTAGACCACAGTGCAGTTCTGAAAGAGTTTGCAGGGCTGAAGGGGATTCCTAGGACCAACAGTGCTGGTCAGAGGAGTCTGGCATCTCCCAGGAACTGGCCTGTGTTAGTATCCCGGCCCACAGGAAGTGCAGCCTCCGCGCGGACAGTGGGTTTCCCAGCCCAGCAGCCATTTGATGGTCATCCTTCCTACAGTCAGAGACCTGAGAAGCATGTTTTCACGGGCACTACGCTGATGTTTCCTAGGGAGCTGGCCAATTCCTATAGGCTGGAGGTTTACCCCAGGTGGGTGCCCAGCCTCCTCTGCGCCGTCAGAGCCCTTGTGTGGCTGCTCCCACGGGGGCCACACGAGGACCCCACACACACAGAAAGCACAGGCCCCCAAATCTCTAAGCGCGGCCCGATTCTTCTGGGCCAGCTCCCTGCCCTCCCTGTTCAGACTATGACTGCTTAAGGTTCAGACACCTTAGAGAGTCCTTGTCCCTTTTTCCTGCCTGTGCACTCCTTCCTTGCACCCAGTTGCCATAAACAGAGGGGTCATGGCTGGGCACAGTGTGGTCACAATTAGGCCTTCGGAGGCAAGGAGGAAGGAGCTAGAGCAAACGCCATGTGGTGTCCGCACGCTTCCACGGTGGTGAGCAGAGAGGAGTGCGGAGAGCAGGAGGAAACCTGCCCCGTAACTGGGCGAGTGAGCACAGGTTTCCCAGGCCTGGGGGCCCCTGCTGCTGAGGGTGCGCCCCTCACCCCACCCACCCCAGGCCGGCTTCTGCTGTGCTACGTGGGCAGAGATGGGGCTCTGTGGGCGTGTCGGGGTGAGACCAGAAGACGGACGCTAGTGACCCCCACTGGGAAGGCCATCTCCACTCCCGACTGGGGCCGGGCTCCAACTGGATGTCTGCTAAAACAGGACACAGAAGGGCAAGGGCCAGAAGGAGGAAAAGGAGAGGTTGCCGGGCCAATGGTCAGGTGGGGAGGGGGTGGAAGAGGGGACACGTGGGGAGGGGCATCTCTGGATGTTGGAGGAGGAAAGATAAAACCAAGAGTCTGACAGCAGGAGGGGCTCCCAAGAACCCAACAAGAAGTTCCTTTTCCTGATAACAGCGGCAATAAGCCTCCGGGATGGGCCCGAGAAACCTCCAAAGGGCTGAACCCAGGTGGTAGGACGTATCCTGCTAATCATTCAGGCAGAGGCCATTTACTGAGCACCTGTGATGTGCCAGGGCTGTTTTAGGCACTGGGTGGGAGAGAACGGAGAAGTGGCAGCCCCCCCGTCGAATGCTGGGGTGACAAACACCCTTCTCTCCTCCCCCCTCTTCTCCTTTCCCTGAAGAACGTGTTACTTGGTGGCCACCAGCCCAGCCAGGGTGAGTGGGACATAAGCCTTGCGTGTGCCTCCTGGTCACCCCCGAGCATAAGGCAGCCTCTGGGGATGGAGAGGGTCAGTGCCGCCCCCCTCCCCGCACTGACAGGGGAGGCCTGGCAGAGGGCAGTTACCTGAAATGTGAAGTATTCATCCGCTGGGGCGTTCAGCATGTTGCAGATCTGTTGCAAAGCAAGAGGAGCCATTAAGCCACAAAGCTGAACGAGAAAGAACGCGGGGAGCAAGGGTTTCCTCCCTGGGTCTCCACAGCTCGCAGGCAAATTATTCACCCTAGACCTCAGTGAGGCCACATGTGCTAACAACACGCTGGAGTCGAGGTGGGCTGGGGCCTGGGCCCCCTTTACTGGAGTGCTTGCATCTGAGCAAACATCTCCTGGAGCAACAGAATACAAAGAAACTATAAGGGACTAAAAGCAACTGCGTGCATGCCCAGTTGGGGCAAATCATGAACGATAAGACACAAAAAGGCCACAAACCAACTGCCACTTCTGAGGTGCCAGGAGCAAAAGCAGAGGACTGCGTGTGATCCCCGCACACAGCACGGCCAAGGGGGTGGGCAGACTACTTAAACCGCCCCTCCAGCCCGACCCACCAATCCACCCCCACCCTCGCCCCTCCCAGGAAGCAAACAAGGGCACCTGTGTCTTGTTTTTCTCCCTCAAGCTGCTGCGAGTGCCAATAAAGCCTCGCCTGAATTTCTCCTCTGGCCTCTTACCAATTGCTATTGATTAAAGACTCCAAGGACCTGGGTGGGTAACAAAGTTAGCTTCTCTTCTACTAATTAAGTCACTGGATGACATTTAGCCCCATCTCTGCTCCTTCCTACTCTCTCAGCCTCTAAGGATTCTTCTTCCAAATTCAAAGCAACTAGTTGTTCAGATCGAGGAGAGGAGGAGTCTAAGCAAAAGGGCCTTTCTGCCTGGGCAGGTGTGGCAGCAATGCTGGGAAGGCTCTGTTTGCCTTCTTTTTTTTTTTTTTTTTCTGATGTGGGATCCGGGTTGGAAGAAAGTGGCTAAGGGGCAGGAGGGAAAAGCCAGACAGCCTTTTAGGTACGCCAAAGTAAATATTCATTACGAGACATCACTTTAAGTACTAAACTCAGAGACTATTGCTCACATCCAGAAGGACAAGAAATCATTCCATTTTGGGGTCATTTCGGATTATCTTTACATCAGGTCAAATCACAAATGGGTCTTTTTTTTTTTTTTAAGTAACAAGCAGTGGATTTAATTTTTGGGGGGGAGATTTTTTTTTATTCAAATGGAAAGTCACAAAAATTATAATCATCCTCAGCAGTTCACTGTCCCATGTAGTTAATTTTTTTCATCTTGATCATTGTTAGCACTTTTACGAATTCATCAGTTTTCCATTAGAGTTCTGAAAATACTTGTTCATTCAGTTCAGCAGTCTAGTTGGTGACCAGAAACCTGTACTTGTCAGAGTCTTTTCCATGAATTCCTTGAAGACGAAACCCTTTTATAGGAACATATTTGCAAAAGCATCAGAGTAAACCCAGAACTGTCTGTAAATGACAAAAGACTTAAAAATGACCACGGTTAAAGATGTGATGAAAGTTCATAATAATGCAATTGACAAGGAAATTTAGTTATTTCTGAGATATATAAAGCAATAACTAGAATTATGACTTATAACATTATACCAGAACATATAAGATTTTTAGAAATTTCATGTAATGTCTGAAACATTTATATTAATGTCTTAATAAAAGACAATATCTTTCTTTCCACCAAAATTACATTAGATACTTTATTTTTGTTTGTTTGTTTTTCCAGCATCACGATTTAATTAAGGGAGTACATTCATCGTAGAGAATATATTGATGACTGTAAATGTGACTCCTCATTACAGCCTTAAAATTTTTGAAACACCAAAGCACAAAGATGTCAATTATATATCCAGACTACAGGTACAAAACAAATACATGCATTTTCCATGCTCCAAAACTGAGTACACACTGTACTGTCACAGGGAAGGGGTTTACCAATGAAGACCTGACAATGAAGTACTCAAGATTGATATACCAAAATAAAATATAACGTAGGAGTTTATAAAAACAAGTTTGACAATAGCAGAGAGGACCTTTTGCATTTCTGAGCAAAAATGCATTTCATTATATGTACTCTCACCTAAAATGAATAAACTGGTCACTTGAGAATGCTCTGTTTATTTCTTCTATTATACTACAACATTCTCCACGTGTTGGAAAAAAAAGTATTGTGCAGGATCTGTGGGATAAGCATGCATGTGGATGGAACAGCACAACTGCACTGGTTCTTACAACTCACTTCCAGATAAGGAGAAAGTGTTATTCATTAGTATGGCCCAGTCTTAGCCAATATTCAGTTTGGAAAGACACTGGGTTAAGATCAGAATGATCTGAAATTCCAAGTTCTAGAATTGATGATTTTATATGCCACTGTATTAGCCAGGCATCTTTTCTTTTTATTTTTAAATTTTTATTGGAGTATAGTTCATCTATAATGTTGTGTTAGTTTCTACTGTACAGCAAAGTGAATTGGCCACACATACCCATATATCCACTCTTCTTTACATTCCCCTCCCATACAGGTCATTATAGAGTATTGAGAAGAGCTCCCCGATAAATTAGATACTTTAAATCATAGCATTTTAAAGTTAGAAGGCACTTTAATAATTGTTTAAGCTTTTCTTTTCAAAGATGAGGAAATAGAAGCCCAAAGAGGATAAGTGATTTTGTTCAAATTCATGGGATGAAACGAGAACCGGGATCTCCAGCGAGGGTGCTGGTGGAATCACCTCTCCTGCTAGGGGGTGGGGAAAGCCCTGATTTGTATCATTAACCAATTCCATGTTGTAAATCCTCCCACCATGGAGGATTTCAAGTTGCCAACAGTTTAACAACCTGCTTACCAAACTCCCAAAAATCTACCAGTCTGGTGAGTAGGTAAGAGAAGGCCTCTCCATCTAGTGCACTAACTGTGCCGGCCCCTCTGGCCCAAGGGAAGTGCTTTCTGGGAGTGCTTGAGCCAGGTCTACTGTTTTTGTACTATCTTACAAAGCAAATGGGACCATCTTTCAAAGTTTTTGTTAGTATATACAGTCTAAGAATTTAAGGACTCATTTGTGCTATCCATTCATTTTTATAATCTAATTTGAATAAATAACATGAACTGATTGGCTGAGCATCCTTCAGGTGTGTGTAAAAGAGACAAAAAGCAGTTTAGTTCTCTTTTCTGACCTTTCCATCAACAGTAACTGCTTTGGTCCAGGCTTTTCCAGCCTTTCGAGAACATCTATAGATCGGTCAAGGTCCTCGAGGCCAAGTATTTCACTCAATATTCAAAAATCCTAGGGCTTCCCTGGTGGCACAGTGGTTAAGAATCCTCCTGCCAATGCAGGGGACACAGATTTGATCCCTGGTCTGGGAAGATCCCACATGCCGTGGAGCAACTAGGCCCGTGTGCCACAGCTACTGAGCCTGCGCTCTGGAGCCCGCAAGCCACAACTATTGAGCCTCAGTGCCACAACTACTGAAGCCCACAAACCTAGAGCTCATGCTCCACAGCAAGAGAAGCCACCGCAATGAGAAGCCCGGACACCGCAATTAAGAGCAGCCCATGCTCATCACAACTAGAGAAACCCTCACGCAGCAACGAAGACCCAACGCAGCCAAAAATAAATAAATAAATTTATTTAAAAAAAAAAATCCTCTCTACCCTCCCCATCTCTCTCTGTCTCTGTTTCTGTCTCTCTGTCTCCCTCTGTCTCTCTCTAAGTTTACAGGTCATCTTGATTCCAGCTTGGTTTGATCCTGTATTTAAGGCCTCCAATTCTATAAATGTAATTCTACAAACTAATTTTCATTTTTAATATCTCATGTTTTCAACTCTAAAAAGTCACTCAACTTAAGTCTGCCGCTTCCCAGTCAGAGCTGGGATTTACTGGTTTGATGAGAACTCTGTGGGCATGTGTTCCCCAAGTCCAGCAAGGTCCAGCTGAAGGACCTCTGAGACTGCTCACCTGAAAGCCTGCCTTTACTCTATTAGAAAGGGTTTGCGAGAAAATTATCAAGGGAAAAGTTTGAAAAAGCTAAAAGGAAAAGTTTCAAGCAGTCTAGAGGAGCATCATATATATACAATTAATTATGATTTAAATGGCACAGCATGGACTTCCCTGGTGGCGCACTGGTTAAGAATCCGCCTGCCAGTGTAGGGGACACGGGTTCGAGCCCTGGTCCGGGAAGATCCCACATGCCGCGGAGCAAGTAAGCCCGTGTGCCACAACTACTGAGCCCATGTGCCACAACTATTGAAGCCCGCGCACCTAGAGCCTGTGCTCCGCAACAAGAGAAGCCACCGCAATGAGAAGCCCACGCACCACAACGAAGAGTAGCCCCCACTCGCCACAACTAGAGAAAAGCCTGCGCACAGCCACGAAGACCCAATGCAGCCAAAAATAAATAAGTAAATTTATTTTAAAAAATTGCGCATCATTTTTACTATCCAGAAAACAGCATTTAAAGATTCTTGAAGCCCCTGTCACTTAAATAATTAGGTCAACAACCTCATTTTACAGATGATGGCATTAAAACCCAGAGAAGTCAAGGGATTTGCCAATGGATTTGCTCAAGGCAGGACTGAGTCATGGCACCCAGGGATCCTGAGTCATAGCCCGTTGCTCTCTTCACCAAAACCCACCATCATATCACAACAGTCCCCCAAGAATGGCACTGCTCTGGCTGGGTCTGCTGAAATGTTTGATATCATCCTCTAGACCAGTGGTTCTCATCCATGGGTGATTTTACCCACCAGGAGATATTTAGCAACGTCTGAGACATTTTGGATTGTCATAGCAGGGTGGTGCTACTGGCATCTAATGGGTAGAGGGCAGGGAGGCTGCTAAAAACCCTACAATTCAGAGGACAGCTCCTCACTACAAATAATTATCTCGTCCACAATGTCAGTAGTGGCAAGTTTGAGAAATCCTGTTCTATACACAAAAAAAATGTTTTTAATAGATCCTGCCTTTTGTAAGCACATAGTATAGGATGACACATTTGGGAGTGAAAGGGAAGGCTGAATAACTCATGAGGACAACAGGTGTAAATGGAGGTTGTCCCATACAAACTGGGAGGTATGTTCACCCCAATTCTGGAGTCCCAGGAAATGGCTCAAGGTCAATTCTCTGAAAATCACTTTGGGAATGCTAACTTGTCTAATGAGCAATTTGGTGAGAAATGCCTTAAACTAGATTTACACCAATTTGCCATCTTGGGCTTGGGCTACCAGCAGAAAGGATAACAGCAGGGGTGAGGCCAAGGGCAGGAGCTGAGAGGTGAAAGGCAGCAGTAAAGCAAGTGCAATGAATCTGTGATAGAAACAAAATCGGGGGAAAATGTCCTCCACAGCTTTGGAATCGACTCTGGCAAGTTGGTTATATGGCAAATTGATGATTTGGCAAATGAACCATTCAATGAGTTGGCTTTTGATGCATTAGCTCTCTCCAAATTGATTTTTGGACAATAACATGTTTACCTAGGAAACACCTAGGAGAGAAGAGGTGCTTAAAAAGTGGGGCATAATAAAAAAGAATAAAATAATGCCATTTGCAGCAACATGGATGGACCTATAGATTATCATGCTAGGTGAAATAAGTCAGAGAAAAGATAAATATCATATGATATCGCTCATATATGGAATCTAAAAAAATGGTACAAACGAACTTATTTACAAAACAGAAATAGAGTCACAGATGTAGAAAACAAACATGGTTACGGGGGAGGGATAAATTGGGAGACTGGGATTGACATATACGCTCTACTATATATAAAATAGATAACTAATAAGGACCTACTGTATAGCACAGGGAACTCTGCTCAATACTCTGTAATGACCTATGTGAGAAAAGAATCTAAAAAAGAGTGGATATATGTATAACAGATTCACTTTGCTGTAGTACAGCAGAAACTAACACAACATTGCAAAGCAACTATACTCCAATAAAAAAAAATTTTTTTTAAGTGGGGCATAAATTTCTTTATACTGGCTACAGCAGCTTTGGGGTATCAAACTTGATAAAAACCCTAAATAGAGCCTGGTAGATGGGATGCTGGGAAACCGAGGACAGGGGCCAGTGGTCAAGCTATTTGGCTATTTTGGTGAGGCTGAAAAATTGTGGTATCTGTGGATTCAGTTAGGAATGAATTGGAATATTTTGGTCATTACCACCAGGTCAGGAAGGACATTTAAAAATATTTCAATTATAAAAAAAGGGGGGGCGGGAATTCCCTGGTTGTCCAGTGGTTAGGACGCCACGCTTTCACTGCCAAGGACCAGGGTTTGATCCCTGGTCGGGGAACTAAGATCCCACAAGCCACGTGGTGTGGCCAAAAAAAAAAATTTTCAATTATTTTGGGACAATTTTGAAAACATGACATTTGTTAGTATATATTACTGTTTACTCCTAACAGACATAAGATTGCTTCTCCCTTCTTTTTCTTTCCTTCCCCTTTGGCATGTCTCTACACTAAGAGATCATGTCACCTGGTAAGGCCACCTGGTCCTGTAAACCAACTAAGCCCAGAGTTTGGGCATCCTCCTTGAAACCCAGGGTAAATCATCCCCACATAGAAAGATTATCTTGCAGTCACAATAGAATTTTCATTACTCTGTCACCATTCTGAACCCAGAAATGTTCACACTAGGCAGAGGCAGATTTATGACAGTAAAAGAAAAAACACTAGACAACCTAGATTTTGTTTCACTTCTCCTATGACCCTTGGGTGACTCTTTTATTCACTGTAATTCACATGCCCCTATACTAAATAATGAAGATGCATGAACACTAGCAAAACACAATGCCAACACTAAAGAAGAAACAACTATGCAAATAAATGCTTAAAAATTTTTTTTTAGAAACTTGGGTTTGAAGGGGGAAGAAGGAAAAATGCCAACATAAAGAAACGTTAAAAGCACCGAACATTCTTGCGGGGAGGAATCTTGATGCGAAAAAAAAAAATGACACAGATGGTGGAACAGCCCAACTAGGGAGAGAAATCAGCCATGAGAAGGAAGGAAAGTGTGGTCAAGGCCGAGTGGGAAAGCTACAGAGACCTGGTCCTCTGGCCCTGAGGCCTATGGGACCTACTGGAGACCTGTTGTTTGTTGTCTTCCCACCCCTGACCTTTCTCAGCCAGACCTGGCCTACTGTCCCCCCATCCCACCCTCCCCTGAGAGACCAGGGCAAAAATCTTCACTTCATCTATCAACTCACTACATTTTGCATTGCAATCAGTGGCAAAGTTCTTTCTTTATATATATTTTCCTTTTTGTCAGTAATTTTCCTTGTTTCAAAAGTCTTGACCAAGGGAACTATATTTAAGATCAAATTAAACCCAGAATGAACCATAGTCATGAACTGCCAAAGGATGTCTGAAATTTGTGTGGCCGCAGAATAAGAGGTTGGGGGATGGATTAATCTTTCTCATGTTAACTAAATATTTTCTTGTAGAGTTTAGGAGTTTCTAGTTCACTTACATTTGACTGCCAAGATTCCTCTCTCCTATGTCCTGTGCCAAACCTCACCCTTACCTGGTGCATTCTTACTTTCATAATTGTTCCCATCTCTTGGCTAATAAAACTTTCATCCAATGTTATGTAAGATTTGAATTTGTTCAATAACTTACAAATCCATTTTCAGCAACGTATGTTGGCAACCCACTAATGAGAGTCCAGTGGTCCGCAGGAGGCGTCCTTGAAGAAGATTAGAAGAAAGAAAATCATTGCTATACAGAGAAATGCACTGGATACAAAAATAAAATGGCAACTCCTGCCGCTGCCTCATGGCAATACTCACGGAATGACTCTGATCTCTTCTTTTCCGTGTAAAATGTAATCGATGATTTTATAAAACACGACTTCCTAAGAGGAAAGAAAGAGAATATGAGAAAAATCTTACTTCCCAAAGAAGACACTTTTCCTTAATGAACTTATATTTTAAAATTTAAATAACACCTTATTTCCCAACCACATTTCTCTGCATAACATAAATTACCAAACTACTCATGTCCTAATTATAAGCCTGTAATAAGACTGGAAATATCACTGGCCACTTATCTATATGAATAAGCCTATTGAACTAATTTTAGAAAGTTGAATTCAGCCTAACAGCTTCTAGGGGAATCTTGGGTTTTCTTTTAATTTCTTTCTATTGTCCAGAAATAACCAACTAATCACTCCAGTGGAACGAGTCATGGAATTTCTCAACCACAGTCAATGTTTTCCCTTCCCAGCTGTACAGGGGCCAGTGGTCAAGCTTCCAGCACTTGCTTATCTGAACAGGGTGCCTCAGAAGCAGGATTCAGTGGATACATTGTCAAAGCTGGAAGCAACTTGAAAACTAATCTTTCTACTTCTTTGGGCAGATGAAGAACCTGAACATTCCATCCCATGCCTTCCCTTTCCTGTGTGCTGGGGATACCGCGGTAGAACAAGCTTCCTATGAAGCTTGCAGTCAAGGGGGAAAGTAAATCTAACCCAACCCTTCCCTGGAGATCCCAGTCCAGGGTGTCAGAAGAAGGTCCTGGGCTCAGTGTGTTTAAAAAACTGTGCAGAAGGCTCTGATGCATCCCTCCCTATTGAGAAGCACTGATCCACCAAGCCTTGGCTTCACAGAAAACGAAACTGAGAAGTTAAACAATGAGTGAAGGCGAGAGCCACCCAGCTGGTTTGGGGCAGAGCTGGGACTTGAACCTCAACCTCCTTGTCCGGTGCTCTTTCTACTACTCCAAGGCCCCCCAGGAAGTGACAGGACTAGAACCTTCTAGTCCTTCTCGAGCCAGCGCTCTTTCCTTTACGCACGGCCTCCTCTAGTTTTAGCACCTGGTACAGATATCATCAACAAAGATGTCTGCACTCACTCTGCCATCTGGTGTCTTTGGACCTTTATAAGGCTCGACTTCTCCAAGCTTGACAGGCCACTCATCATAGAATTCCTGGAGGCAATTATATGTAAACATTATTAAGCAAACTGTTCCGTGACCTACCATATCTTATACGAAGGTCATTGGTTTGCATGTTTTATGCTAACTTATAATCCTGGAATTTTAAAGCTCTTTTTCAGCAATACCACTTATGAACTTGTGACTGTGAACAAGTCAACCTTTTTAATCTGTAAAATGGGGACAATAATAAAATTTATACTATAGGGTCATTGTGTGGATTAAATGAATAATACAGAGCACCTACCCTGACACATAGTTAAAAGTACTTAATAGATAGCAGCTCTTTTATAGACAATTAAACTAAATCCAGATAGGTTAAGAGGCTTGTCCAAAGTCATGCAGAATGGACAACAGTGTTGCTTGCCTTACCCAACATTCAATTCCCCCTCTTCCTTGCTAACAAAACCTGATTTTATTTAGTTATCAGGTGGTGATTTGTTCAGGGAAGACGGACCCTGCACAGCTCACGAGTGGTCTATGTAAGGTGCCTGGAATTAGTTTGAGGGCAGGTATGTGGCCTGGATATGGACAGTGAAGGAGAAGTCTTCCAAGGGCCTTCTGAAGAAAGCTTTTCTTTAGACGAAGGGTGATGAGGATGACATTTGTAGGAAATGTCTCCCAATTTTGTCATGTCTATGAACCAGGTCTTGAGCTGCAATAGCCATCTTACCACCACAAGAAGAGACCTCACCAACAATGCTGAAGGGAGCAGAGACTTTACCAGGAAAAAATGAAAAGCACCTGGGACTCTGATGCCTGTACTGAGCTCTGAATTAATCAGCCATAGAACTGCCCTACTTTGGGACTTCTTGTTAAATGAGATAATAACTGTCATGTTACTAAAGATGCTTTTAGTTGGGTCTGATGTTACTTGCAGCCAAAAGCATCCTAACTAATACAGTCAGCTAGAAACTTCCAGAGCCAGGATCAGAACTCAGCCCTCCTGACACTTGGTCCCATGTTTATCCACTTAGAACAATTATTGTGAAAAGATAATTTCCAATCACATGGAGAGTAATAAATATAAAGATATGGTATTCATTGGTTATGTTGAACTAGAAGAGCTCCAACAGAATTAACGAAGCAAGATGAGAAATGAGCATTATATTGTGTGTGAGTAATATTAAATATTTTTTAATTTCTACTTTAAAATAATTTTAACTTTTCAGAATATAAATCCTCAAACTGGTAATAAAAATACACTTTATTTTTATGCCCTAATATGTGCTGGCCACTATATAGACATAGATTTAGACATTTAGCTATAGATAGATAGATATGGATATATAATTTCCAAATAATCTCAAACCCTCACAACTGATGAGAGAAGTCCTCATTTTACAGATGCATAAACCAAGAATCAAGGAGGTTAAAAGAACTTGCTGAAAAGAAGCACAAAGTCAAAGAACTGACACTACCCGACTTCGAGACTTACTATATAGCTACCATAATCAAGAGAGTGTGACACTGGTGGTAGAATAGACAAATAAATCAATGGAACAGAATAGAGAGCCCAGAAATAGACCCACACAAATATAATCAATTGATCTTTGGCAAAGCAGCAAAGGCAATGGAGAAAGAATAGTCTTTTCAACAATTGTACTGGAACAATTGGACAGCCACGTGCAAAAAAAAAAAAAAAGAATCTAGATATAGATCTTATGACTTTCACAAAAAACAACTCACAATGGATCATAGACCTAAATGTAAAATGCAAAATTATAAAACTTCTAGAAGATGACATAGGAGAAAATCTAGGTGAACTTGGGTTTGGTGGGATTTTTTAGATACAACACCAAATAATGGAAAAATTAGACTTCATTAAAATTAAAAGCTTCTGCTCTGCAAAAGATACTGTTAAGAGAAAGAAAATATAATACTCTGGGAGAGAATATTTGCAAAATACATATCCAATACAGGATTTGTATTTAAAATACTTAAAAATGAATGATAAGAAAATAACCCAATTAAAAAGTGAGCAAAAGATCTGAACAGTCATCTCCCCAAAGAAGACATACAGATGGGAAGTAAGCATTTGAAAAGATGCCCACATCACATGTCGTCAGGAAATGCAAATTAAAACAATGAGATACAACTACACACCTATCAGAATGGCCAAAATCTGGAACACTGACAAAACCAAATGCTGGCGAGGATGTGGAGCAACAGGAACTCTCAATTATTGCCAGTGGGCATGCAAAATGGTACAGTCACTTTGGAAGACAGTCTGGCTGTTTCTTACAAAGCTAAACATAGTCTTATCATGTGATCCAGCAATAGCCCTTCTTGGTATTTACCCAAAGGAGTTAAAAACTTACGTTCACACAAGAATCTACACACGTTAACAGCAGCTTTATCCATAATTGCCAAAATTTGGAAGCAACCAAGATGTCTTGCAGTAGCTGAATGATTAAGCAAACTATGGTGTATCCAGACAAGGGAATATTATTCAGCATTAAAAAGAAATGAGCTATTAAGCCATGAAAAGACATGGAGGAAACACAAATGCATGTTGCTAAGGGAGATAATTTAATCTGAAAAACCTACATGCTCTATGATTCCAACTATATGGCGTTACAGAGAAGGCAAAACTACAGAGGGAGTACAAACATCAGTAGTTGCCAGGCGGCTGGGGTGGGGAGAGGAAGGGCTCAATAGGCAGAGCACAGAGGGTTTTTTGGGGGGGAAGCTATGCTCTATGATACTGTAATGGCACATATATGACACTATGTATTTGTCAAAATGCATAGAACAGTATAACACAGAGAGATGAATGTAAACTGTGGACTTTAGTTAATAATGACATATCAATATTGATTCAACAACTGTAACAAATGTACCGCATCAAGGCAAGATGTTAGTAACGGGGAAAGGGTGGGGGTAGGGAAGGAAGAGGTCACGTATGGGAACTCTCTGATCTTGCTGCTCATTTTTTCTGTAAATCTAACATTACCCTAAAAGAATAAAGTATATTAATTAAAAAAAAAAAGGCTTGTTGAAGACATATAGCCAGGAAGTGGAAAAGCCAAGCTTAGATCTTTTTTTGCTCCAAAAACGTACATGTTTACCTCTATACCATATTTTCTTGGCACTGGTTCTTATGATCTACCGTGACTAGTAGTTTACATAGCGTATCCATTTTTTTTTAATGGATTGCATTTCATGTGATGTGCATTTTATAGGTGATGTTAGGTGAGACCAAATGTACGGAACAGTGACCTTCTCCTTGGTCATGTCCAGCAGTCCAATGGAGTATCGTTCACAGTTCAGGTATGTTCTAACAGTGTAGAGAGCTTTGTGAAACTGTCGCTCAACATCTGTGAGCTCTTCAAATACTTTGTTGGCTGACCACATGAGGATCTGAAAGTAGGTATTAAACAGAAAACAATTAGAACAAAATACAGTACGAAGAGGAGCATTAGTCAGGAGAAAGCAGGAGGTGCATCAGATAAAATGAATTGCATTGCAAACAACGCAATTCCATTTTGGCACATGTACATGTCCAACAAATTACTCAGATTTTCTGAGTGGGATGATGAGTAGACCTTTTGCAAGGATGTGGGTTTATGAAAGGGGAGAAGCCATGATTGGTCCCCATGTCCAAATGTTTTGGCTCAAAGGGCAAGTGATCTAACAATAAATGCAGAGACAGTTCCTGGGCAGAGGGTCCAGTATTGGTGGCCCAATGGCTCCTGCCGGTCCCTATGGGGAGAAAGCCACATGCCTCCTTCCATGCATCCTAAGCTAGTCAAAGGTCTCCTTACCCGGACAGTGAGCCCAGGACGGGACCTTGGAAGTCCTCCATCCCAACCACCCTCCCACCATTGTACTCATGAAGAAACAGAGGTCCACAGAGCGGTCCAACTCAGGTATCCTGGCTACCAATGTTGTTCTTTATCCCTCTGGCTCAAGGAGGCAACAGAGGAGTGATGTGCTTCTCAAATTAATACCTTTACTATGTATTGGGTCGGCCAAAAAGTTCGTTCGGGCTTTTCCGTAAGATTTTACAGAAAAACCCAAACGAACTTTTTGGCCGACCCAATACCAGGAATACATAGTTCTGCTAAAAGCTTTATGTGACCTAATTCATTCAATGACCATTTAATAGTCACAACAACCATGTGGGGTAAGTACTACAATTATCATTGCTATCTCATAGAGGAAGAAACCACAGCTACCCAGGATACGGACTGAAGAAAGCAAGCCAGCTGTACCTACAGATAGAGGGACAGGAAGATGGGGTGGGGGGAGGGGACATAAGAGGACACTGAGGATAGAAGTTTGGGGATCTTATCCATGTGGTGCGGATAGGAAGGGTCTGGGCTTGTTGCCTCTGGGTTGCTCTGTCAGACAGGTCAGCATGGAGTGGTTAATGTCACCTTCTCTTTACCTGGCTTCTTCGGGATTCAATACTGTACAAGTAGTTGGTATGATGAAGCTTTAGGATGACAGAAACAAAGCTGAGGTATTTGGAAAAGACCTACAGATGGCAGAGAAAAACAAATTAGGTGTGACATCTTTCTTTCAGTTATACAACAAATAAATTCCCTGAGCCTCCTATGGGATGCCCAGGTAGTTAGCGTTACCTCTTCATCCCGTTTGGAAAATTCAGATGCATCTACTTTGTTAACTGCCATAACCACAGCAAGAACCTCCTTGCCTGTCACGATGGGGGCTGCCAGCAGGTTCCTGGTGACATACCCGGTTTGTCTGTCCATGAAGTCAGAAAAATGGCTGTTCTGCAAGATACATTCACACATTTGCCAAAGCAGCATAGGACCATGAGTGTAGATGTAGGAATGGTAACAGATCGTCCTCTCTAGTCCAAGTCCTACCAACAGATAACCAGGGCCGCTGCACAGTGGTCCCGAGCAAACAGTCCCCACCCACCTCCCACCCTCAATTAGAGAGAATGAATGAAGCACAGAATGAAACTGCCCGTTTCCGAATGAGCATTTCCCGCCTGAACTATGGTCTATCCCGGTTAGGCTGAGGTTGGGCCAGGAGAAAAGAGGTGATGTTGTGGCCAAATGGAAAGTGAGGTTCTAAGAGGGAGGCGGGGGGAAGATGCAGGATTACAACGGGCAGAAAGTGTGTGTCAGAAAGAGAGCACAGCTGGGATTCCGTAGAGCTCTTCTTTTTAATCACAGCAGTAAAATGTGCACTTGAAACCACCCAACCCATCATAACACAAAGAAAAAATTATTAATCCCCCAAACTCCTCCTCCTTGAGGAAATCCATGTTCCTGCTTAGTACATCTCCTTCTATGCCTTCCTCTCTGCTCAAAGGGTTTACTTTTCTTTTTTTAAATAAAATTTCCTTTTCTAATTTTATACGATCCTTTCGTCACTTAACACTACCTTACGAACTGGCGACGTGTACGATGTGAACCCACCTTCTGGATCCTTGTAGACCGCTCCACAGTGTGGGGGCCCCGGATCTGCTCAGCCAGCCTCTACTGATTCAGTCTGTTGATAGTTTTCCCCACTGCAAACAATACTGCGCTGATCACTCTTGCTTTTAGTTTTTTGTTTTTTTTTTTTTTTTTTTTGTGGTACGTGGGCCTCTCACTGCTGTGGCCTCTCCCGTTGCGGAGCACAGGCTCCGGGCGCGCAGGCTCAGCGGCCATGGCTCACGGGCCCAGCCGCTCCGCGGCATGTGGGATCTTCCCGCACCGGGGCACGAACCCACGTCCCCTGCATCGGCAGGCGGACTCTCAACCACTGCGCCACCAGGGAAGCCCTCTTGCTTTTAGTTTTATGTGATGGACTCCCCAAAGTGGAAATTCCTTTTGCTGGATCAACAGGTATATGCAGTTTTTACTTAACGCTAAGGGCTTTTACAGATGGTTGAAATTCTTACCTCTCCTGGTCATTCATGAGAGGACCACCCTCTTGCCAGCACCAGATACTTATCAGTTTCTCAAAGTTCTACCAAGTCAATGTCTCTCATTCATATTTTTTATTTCTTTCCTTGGGGAAAATGAAGTGTATCATCCCAGATACAAACTTCAAGGAGTAGAAGCAAGAGCTGACTCTAATACAAGAACCACGGAAAGGGCAGAGTGATGAGTTTGGAGAGGCACACAAATGGAAGGGCTTGGGAAGAAGGTCAAGGACAGCAGTTATCTTATTGGCTGTAATTGAGAGGAATACCCACTCTAGTTGGGTGTAGACTCAGCCTGCTGTGGGTCCTGACTGTCTCCCCTTTGAGTCTTCTTCAATTAGAACTGAGCTTTCCACCTGACTTTGAGCCTCAGTGGCCAAAATTAATGTGGTGTTTCTTTCACAAGTTGTATTATGTTCATTTCTGCATGTTGATGGTGCTTCTAAGAGCAGCACAAATCGTGGAGGCTGGACTCTGTTCAATTTCCCAAAGTAAAAAGGTGAGAGTCCACTGGTGCGTGACTTCCAGGCCAGAGTTTCCACCAGAGAACGAGGGCTGCTTCGTCGACAGAATCACAGCTCTGCTCAGAGCAGTAGACCCGGGCTGTGCCTCAGAGTCACCTGCAGACTGATGCAGATTTGCAGACCTCACAGCAGACCTACCAAATCCTAACTGCCTACAGTGGAATCTGTCTTCACCAGGAATCTGAACTTCTGGTGGATGAATCCGTTCTGTGGAGGATCCTTAGAGACGTGAGATGCTAAGGGATTCAGATGCAGCCCTTGAACCCAGATGTCTTCTATACCTTCCCAAAGTGGAACCACAGAAACCAACTGCTTATGTAGGAGGCAGCATTGCATAAGGGGTGAAGAAGGTTCTGCAGTCAGACCTCCTTGGCTGAAACCAGGCCCAGATTTACTAGCTGTGAGACCCTGGGTGTGCTACTTAACCTCTGCATCCTCATTTTTTAGTCTGAACATGGGAACAATGAGATCATCTACTGTCTAGAGTCCCTGATGTGAAGAGAAGAACATAGTGTGGGCAGAGCACTTAGAAAAGAGTCTGACACATATTAATAGTAGGTGCTCAATTAATACTAGGAAGAGAGACCTGGGACTTTGGGGGCCTCCCTGGGTGAGAAGTCATTCTGATTTTGCGTTACCATTCTGCTTCTACTTCTAGCTTTTCTAACCCATTCCAACCACTGAAGAAATTAGATGCTCTTAGCTGATATAGGCCTCCTATGCCCAGGAGCACGCTCGCTCCTGAGGGCTGAGTCTCTGCCCCACGCCAACAGAAGCCCCATTTTTTTTGCTAACTGCTTTATCTGTGACTTCTCTCTACCTCCTGCAGAACCTTCACTCAGTCCAGAATAGCTCCAGACTTTGGGAGGTTCTTTCTCTTAATCCACTGCTATAGCCCAGGCTGGCTCACTGTCCATCTTCCTCCTAACCCGTTATCCATTACAGAACATGATCACATTCACTTACTCCACGATGCTGGGCACTAAAGGAATAACCAAAACGCCCCAAACATGCAGCATTTCTTGGCAGACGCTCTTCACTCTACAGCTTCAAAACTGGATGCTAGTTTATTCTAGATTCTAAACACAAGGAAATGTTCTTACATTCAATTGGCTGTTTTGAGAAAATGACTTAGAAGTTTCAAAATTTAATGCTTGCTTATCATGGCATCTGAAAATCCTGGATAAAACCATCTGTCAAATTACAGGGTATTCGTGCCCCGGTCCGGGAAGATCCCACATGCCGCGGAGCAGCTGGGCCCGTGAGCCATGGCCGCTGAGCCTGCGCGTCCGGAGCCTGTGCTCCGCAACGGGAGAGGCCACAACAGTGAGAGGCCCGCATACCGCAAAAAAAAAAAAAAATTACAGGGTAGGGTGAGGCAAGGTTTTCCAGCTTTGTATTTTCACTGGTTCAAGCAATCCTTGGTGAAGTTGCTTTGAGTAAATTCTGTATCTTTCGGACCGACAAACTCCCCTTGGTGGTCATTCTTCAAAGAAGCCAATGAAGGCAACTGGGAACATGGTTTAGAGCAGCGGGCCACCTGGATCCCTCAGCCAATCTTAGCATTGCTAAATTCTGATTAAACATCTCAAGATCCAGAGTCAGAAAGAGAGAAGGGCAGAAAGGGAGCTATAAGCACCCTGTTAATTATTGAAAACTTAGGATTCTCGCATGGCTTTCTTTTAAACCACAGTCAGGAGAACCACCCATAGAGTTAATCACCAGCTTTCCCAATACAATAAGAAATGATTAACTTGTGGAGGATATGTCTCAGTTTCCTGTTATTAAGTTTCCCTGCCTTTAACCTGTTTTAAAAACAGGCCATAATCATTGACCCACTTTTGGCCACCTACACCCAGCCCCCAACTTCTCTTGGCATTAATATAATATTACCATAGCTTTCATTTATTGAGCACCTACTAGGAGTCAGGCACTTTATGTACATTTCATCTGTACATTTGGTTACTCTGTTTCTCAGGTGCAGAAACACAATCCATCACGCAGTTACCTTGTCTCAGACCTGGATATACGCCCAGGTCACCTGATTTCAAGGCTCTCACCCGACACCATGTGGCTTCTCTGTTGCCAAAGCTGGAAGTATCCAGCTCTGCCTCTGGTCTATGTGTGAGAAGTCCTTCCCTCCCTGTGCCCACACTGCCAACCAGGGAGGAGTCCTGTGTGGTCAGGGCTATGGCAAAAAAAAGGAGGCCTTGTAAGACCTGGTTTAGAAGCCCAGACCCAGCACCTCCTGCCTAACTGACCTTGAGAGGATTCTCACATATACAGGATGGAAATAAAAATACGGTCCTTGCCCTCTGCACAGGGTCTTGGCCAGAATCAAGTGAGATAAAGAACAAGAGAAATCTTCACCAAGTGTCAAGTGCAATGAAAAGGTGAAGCGTTAATAGAAATGTCACTTAAAACATTTCCAACTCCATTCTCTTTGCAGATTTTACCACAACTTAAGTGCGGTGAAACTGCAGGGCTGCGGGGTGGGATGAGGGTGGGAACAGAGCGAGGAGGCCTCATCCTCTCCAGCCCCTCTCAGTCACTGACCAGACCCTGGACTCCAGGAGAGATGCAGCCCCCCTTGACCTCAACTTCCTGTCTGCCCAAGGGAATAAACTAAAGGCTCCAGGAGCCCTTTCCATCTAATCATCCACAGTTGATTTGAAATTTACTTCCTCCTCTTACATCTGTTCATCCAATAGACCAGCGGTTTTCAACATTGGCTGCATATTAGAATCACCTGGGGAGCTTTTAAAAAGTACTCCTGGCTGTGTCCCAGCCTCTGAGAGGCTGGTGTAATTGGTCTATTGAGAGTCTCACACATCCGTATTTTTAAAAGAGCTCCCAGTTTGATTTTAATGTGCGTCCAGAGTTGAAAAGCACCATTCTCCGAGAGGAAAAAAAAATGCTTAGAAGCAGTAGAAACGGAGAGCAAATGAAGTCTTTGTCCCTCCTCTGAGCTCAGGAGGGTGGGATGGCGTCTGACTTCACACATACTCAGAAAAAGGGAGAACAGAGCGAAGTGACCCCGCCTCCCCCCCCCATTTACTGCCCTGTGCATATGGGGTGCCCATCATGGACAGCAACACACCCAGGCCACCTGATCGCTTAAGCTGCTCCTTTCTATCATCCTGTCCTCAACAGAACTGGGCTCATTCATAAAGGAGCAGAGCAGAAGTCATTTTATCCATCTCTTCTTTTAAAAAAAAAAACCTTTTTTCCGAAAAAAACTCTTGCGTGTTACTTAAGTTTGCTGTCCTAGTCATTTTGGAGATGGTCTCAGTCGGAGACTGGCAAGAAGCATATTCCTGTGAGAAAACCTCAGGGTGTGCAGGCATAGCCTCCTTGCTGGGGATCCAAGAACTTTGCCTTAAGGGCCTTTAGTCAGCGGAAGCGGCTGCAGTGGGCCCAGAATCCTACTTAAACCAGCTGAAACGTACTGCAGGGAGGGATGGTAAAGAGAGAGGACTCTCCGGTGCCCAACAGCAACCCTTGCCCCTCTGGGCTGTCCTGTGGCTGTTTGCTGAGCGTTGCTAATGTTTGACAACTTCTGCACCTTCTGGATCCGCAGGGCCCCCCCTGTAATCAGCTTCAAGAGGCATGTAGGGGATTATCCTCCCGCCTGCGCCTGCGCTGCCCCTCCTCCACAAGCCGGCAGTAAACCTCTACACAGTACGCATTTCAGGGCCAGCTCCCAATCAATTCTGTTCCATCATCGTCCAACTCTCCCCTTTGTTAACAGCAAATCAAAATGGTGGGACGTGTGTGCAGGAAAAGGGCAGGCAGGAGAAACTCCAGGCTGGGACCTACGGCTATTGCTGAGAAGGGGGATTATGGGTGATTTGCATTTCCTTCTTTTTGTTTATTTGTATTTTCTAATTTTTCTAAGATGAACAAGCATTACGTTGGTTAGGAGAAAGTTAACTTTTCTGCTTTTAAAAGAGCATAATAATTTATGCAATATACAATTAGTCTTCAGGAGGGTCCAAATGTCCCATTTACAAAATTGGAAATTCTTGATAGATCTGAGTTATGAGGGGTTGAGATGGCCAAATGTACTTAATCATCACCTAAATTCACATTTTTAAGGATCCAGATGGCAACATCTGAACTTTCAGAGGGTATCTTTTTTCTTTTTGCACCTTTGATCTATAGGTGAGAGAATCATTCAGGAGCCAATTCACCCCCGAACAGCTGAGTGTCTTCAAAGGATCGTGGGTGAGAAGCGGTTCAGGGGTCTTGGCATCTGGTGTATTGGCTGATCATCTCACCAGTGAGCGGCCTGCTTTGCCCTGTTGGTCAGGACAGTGCCCAGAGCACAGAGGAGGTGCAAGGGAGCAGGTGTGGACGGTACCAGGCCCAGGTAAGGCTGCCCAATAAAATACCCAGCATTCCATGGGGCACACATTATCCCCTGTTGATCTCAAATTCAGATAGAACTGGAAATCTTGTAATTTTTTTTTTTTTTTTTTGCGGTACGCGGGCCTCTCCCTGTTGTGGCCTCTCCTGTTGCGAAGCACAGGCTCCAGACGCACAGGCTCAGCAGCCATGGCTCACGGGCCCAGCCGCTCTGCGGCATGCGGGATCTTCCCGAACCAGGGCACGAACCCGTGTCCCCTACATCGGCAGGCGGACTCTCAACCAACTGCGCCACCAGGGAAGCCCTGAATCTTGTAATTTTATTTGCTAAATCTGGCAACTCTCGGCCCAGGTGCTCCTCTTCCCCACCACCCACTCCCCAGCCAAGCCAATGTCACGAGGATGGCCCCTGGACCCACGCTCTCTTTCCCAGTGTTCCTCCCCGACGCCACCAAGACCTCCTCTCCGCTCCACTGTCACCATCAGGCCACTTACCTTTTTCACATCTGGGACATTGAAGGTTTTCTTCGTGTGAGCAACCCAACCCACTATCCCGACGTCCAGTGGAAAAACAACTTCTCTGTCGGGGACCACCAGGTTGTCCTCGAACTTGGAGGTGGAGGTGACGTCGAGCAGCTTGGAGGCCACCTCGGGCGAGCCGTTGCGCGCCCGGCACAGGAACATGCTGCAGCGGTCCGCCCGCAGCAGCCGCGCCAGCCTCTGCAAGGCCTTGTGCGCCGCCAGCTCCACGCTGCCGGCCTCCTCCCGCAGGGCCTCCAGCAGCTCCAGGCACAGGGCCGCCTCCTCCACCAGCGTCAGGCCCAGGAAGGACGCGCGGGCTGGCGCCTGCGCACCACCGGGCTCAGAGATTTCTCCTGCCGCCTCCCCCCGCAGTTTCCGGTCGAAATACGCCTTGGCAAACTGAGGGTTGTCCTCCAGGTATTTCTCCACCGTCTCTTGGCTGATCTCACCCATGGCGTGGCTTGCTTTGCTGCTCTTGTCCAGAATGGAAGACCCTCAGAGCACCACCAGAGGCAGAGTGCCAACAAAGAGGTACCTCCTGGTCAAAGATACCGAGAAAGCCTTAAGGGCACCTCACAGGACCCCCAAAGGCTGAGCAGAAAGGTTGTTTAGCAGAGCTTTCAAACGACTTTTAACTCTTGGGATATGACAGAAGGTCCTGGCTTAGAGTGGGATTCAGGAAGCATGGGATTAAAGAGTTCTTCAGGACACGAAATCCCTAAGCATTATTAGCTCATAAGTCCTCAGAGAATCCGCAGAGCGTCTTAGATCAGCCAGCCAAGTAGCAAGTCAAAGTGACCATTCCAGAAAAACAGCTGAACCGTGGCTGCTGTCGGCGACAAGAAGAATCATGGATATATCCATTAATTATATTCCATAGGCATTGACAATACCACTTGTTCTTTCATGATAGCTCTATGAAATAAAACTATTTAGACCTCGGAAATGTCTGTTTGTTTATATGGCAACTTGAATGAACATTTGGGGGAGATGGAAGGGTTTAGCATAACACAACATAAAATCGAATATTAATCTTTCCTTTTCTTAAAACTCCTATGATCAGCCAGATTGCTTGACCTACTCTTTTTTTAAAATCCTCACCTCTCAGTTCCCCTCATTTAAAAACTTGACCTTGGAAATGTTTTAAGGGAACAAACCTTTGGCTTATTCTAGAGAGGTGAACATGGAAAAATATTTGCCCACGATTCAAGCCTAATCAAGCCGCAATTTATACAATAATCCTTGTCAAAAGACATGATCATAAAAGGCAACCCATGCAGCTGCCAACTAGGTTTTCCTGCTAAGCATATTAATTTGGATTTTGTTTTCCACAGTAATAGCCAGACCTAATGCCTTTTTGCTCCAAGGTACAGTCGGTTAAATCTACTGGATAATACCTGTCTTGTCTGTTGCTAAGATCTTTCACATCTCGGGGGCTTCTGGCATGGAAAAAACACTTGCCACTACTTACTTTTGTTTAATGTTCAGGTTATCAAGCTTTTACATAGATTAAGCACATTTTCCCAAATATTTAAACACTATTATGCAACTAATAAGCCGAACTACACATTTCATGAACCAATTTCCTTGAATATTTACAGGCTGATTTCAAACTTAGTCAAAGGTCTTTTAAGCATTTCAATAAAGCTACAAACTTTATATGGAGAATTCTCTTGAATGAAAACATACGTAACAGTTACAGTGACTCCAAAAGTTACTATTTCACCCACATTTAAATCCACTTCAAAAATAGCAAGGCTATGGGTTTCATTTATTTCTCTAGACCTAGTGCTTACCTGGCTAGAGTGATAATGGTCTTCTTAGACAGAAAAGAAGAAGAGATCCATTGAGGCTTCAGGTTCTTGGTCATGAGATAAGAGATTCTTGATGGGAACATGGTTTTCCCAGGGGAACAGAACCCACACTTGCATTTGTTGAACCATGTCACTTCCTATGGTTGAGTCCACTTGCTCCCTCAAAGGGTCTTGTCAAGCACACACCCTTTCTTGCACCTCCCTCTGTCACACCCAAGTCTACTCTCAGGAGGGTCCTCCTGAGATTACTGTTTACTTCATAATATCCTAGTAGCATCTCATTATAATTAGAATAATGCGCAGGTTTATCTCCTAAGAGAAAGGAGTTGAGTCAGCTGAGTCACACCTATGGGACCACCATCCATCTTCTTCTAACACAGTTGCGGACACCCTTTCTCCCTGGTTGTTCTGTGTGACAGTGCAGTTCCTACTTCTCTCAAAAGCATGTGTGTGCTCACAATTCCCATCCTCTCCTCTTTACACACAGAGAGACAAAAACACATACCCATATCCCATACACAGATTTATACTTGAGGTATAAATCTGTGTATGGAAAAAAACAAAATGCCCATATATGTTTACATTCCTCTACTTATAAAAATGAAAATGAATTTTAAAATGAAGCATATTCTTTTATAGTCAGCATTCTGTGTTTTGAAAACTTTTTAAATTTATTTTTTGTCTGAGTTGGGTCTTTGTTACTGTACGCGGGCTTTCTCTAGTTGCAGCGAGTGGGGGCTACTCTTCATTGCAGTGCGTGGGCTTCTCATTGGGGTAGCTTCTCTCCTTGCAGAGCACGGGCTCTAGGCGTGCCGGCTTCAGTAGTTGTGGTGCACAGGCTCAGTAGCTGTGGCGCATGGGGTTAGCTGCTCCGCAGCACGTGGGATCTTCCCGGACCAGGGACCGAAACCGTGTCCTCTGCATTGGCAGGCGGATTCTTAACCACTGAACCACCAGGGAAGTCCACTAACTACTTTTAGATTCATTCATTTGTTTGTTCTTCCAATACGTGTCTAATGATGGTCCACTATAAGCAAGACATAATACTAGCTCCTGCGGTAGAGACTCCATGTTCCCCTTTTTTCTGATTTTCCTCTCCTCCTAGTTGTATGGGAAGATTATTCTTCTCTGCCCTCCTCCCCCAGTAGGGCCATGTGACTAATTTTGACCTACGGGTTGTGAGCATAAACGTCTCTTCCAAGTAGGAACAATCAATTCCCAGAGTGAGACCCTGGAGCTCCCCCTTCTCCCTGCTGCCATGCCAGTTCCAGATGTAGGGGCCTCATGAATCCCTGAGTGAGGATGTCATGGAACAAAGCCCCCTGCTGACCTGAGATGGACATGTAGCATGAGTGAGAAATAAACCTTTCTTGTGTTCAGCTTTTGAGATGTGAGGGTTGTTTGTTACTGCAGCATAACCAAGTCAATCCTGACTGAACACAGGGGATGAATAAGCCTCGGCTGCAGCTGTACAAGCACTAGCGGTGTAGCAAAGAAGATACTATTAGGACACAAAAGTCATGAAGCACAGAACAGAATAGGATAAAAGCCAGAAGTGATGTACACACATATAGCTATGAGACTTTACGTAATGTGGATATGGGATCATATCTAGACTGGGTAGAGATGGAGTAGAAATCGAGTGTGAGCCAGGTGGTGGTAACAGCAGAAGCAATAGCATGGAATGCAGAGTAACAGGGGGACTAGTGAGAGATGAATCTAGAAAAGTAGGTTGGGCCCAGATTAGGGCCTCAAAGGCTAGCTGAGGATTCTGAACCCTGGAAACTCTTAGGGGTAAGAAATGACATTAGGGTTCTTCTCTACAAACTTAATCTGGTCGTGCTTAAAAAGATGACTTGGAAAAAAGAAATACTGGACATTAGGATACAAATTAAGAAGCTATATTGCATTTGGTTCATTATCAAATACCCTAAAAATGTGTACAGGCTTTGACCCTGCAACTCTTCTTTCTTCTTGATTACAAAAGTAATTAAGGCTGTATATGATTAATGTAGTTACAGGGGCATTCATCAAAAACACAACTATAAATGGAAAAGATTAGAAATAGCCTAGGAGGTTGAGTAAATAAATGGCATTATAGTCATACAATAGGAAACCATACCTTAATTATAATCCTATTGTAAAGGTCTGTTTATTGATATGAACAGATATTTATTATGTGCAATAAATTGCAAGATACTATTGCAGTATGACTCCACATACACACATACATATATGGAGGTGTGTATACCAAAATGTTAACAGTGATTATTCCAAAGTGGTGGAATTCAATGTAATATTTTTTTTCTTCTCTTTTGCTTACCTGATTTTTCTAAAGTATCTACAATGAACATATATAATTTATATAGTAAAGAAATTCATTCATTATAAACAAAGTTTTTAAGGCTATTCTCACAGGCTATGGGTGAGGGTGCTTGGGAATGAAACAGGAAGGGACAAATGTGAGACATAATTTCAGGCAACAATCAACAGGACAAGGGAATTGATTAGTTAGAAAAGGCAAGCAAGAAAGAGGGATCACTTCTGACTACTCTGTGTATTGGATGACATTTGATAAAGACAAATATTTTTTTAAGGGAAATACTGGAACCCAGCCTTTTAGTGCACTCACAAATATCCTTCTCCTCCTCCCCTGTCCTTGACTGAATCCCATCATCCCTGCTGCTCTTTTTCTGGGGTAGTCCTTGCAGAGTCTCTGTCCTGTGTTGACAAGACTTTTGTGTCTCTGTCCTAAGCACTGAAAAAACAAAATTTAAGAAAATGTAATATTTTAAAAATGACAAAACAGACACTTAGAATAAATTTTTAACACTACAAAATAATTGTTGACTTTGTTAAACTTCACCATTTATATCAGCATTTCCAGTTCGTTTAAAGAATAAGTTTTTAAAGAATAGAACAGTAACTAGTGGGAAGAACGAGGAAAAAGACCAATATCTTAGATGTTACAGACACTGACAATCATTTATTTAGACAAAGCATCTCAGAAACAATAACTAAATCGATGTGAAAACTCCATTCCATTTACACAGAATATTTTTAGAAAGATAAGCCACAAGTAATGATAATTAAAAAGTGATCATAAAAATAGCTAACTTTAACACAGACAGAGAATGAACTTGAGGACACGGGGAGGGGGAAGGGTAAGCTGGGACAAAGTGAGAGAGTGACATGGACATATATACACTACCAAATGTAAAATAGATAGCTAGTGGGAAGCAGCCGCATAGCACAGGGAGATGAGCTCGGTGCTTTGTGTCCACCTAGAGGGGTGGGATAGGGACGGTGGGAGGGAGACACAAGAGGGAGGAGATATGGGGATGTATGTATATGTATAGCTGATTCACTTTGTTATACAGCAGAAACTAACACACCATTGTAAAGCAATTATACTCCAATAAAGACGTTAAAAAAAAAGAATAGCTAACTTTATAATATATAATCTGTGCCAGGCACCCTTCTAAGACCCTTATATATATATCATCTCATTTCATCCTAACAATAACCTTATGAGGTGTGTATATTATTATCTGTATTTTACAGGTGAGAAATCGAAGCACAGAGAAATTAAATAACTTGCTCAAGGTCACACAGCTAGTGATAGTGACCTACCCCAAACTACGAGCTTAAATAGGAATAAATTTTAAAATACACCCATGAGGTGTACAAGATACCATAATAGGTGCTATAGGAGAACATACAAGACTTTTCCTTCAAGGAATTTAAAATCTAGGCCTATATAATAAAATGTTAAACACCAATACAAGAATTAAATTAAAATTCCAGGAACTCATTTTAAAAGCCTACAGATATATCAAAGAATGGATTAACTTCCTTAATCTTTCTGCTTAACAAATTTACATTTTTCAATAGTATACTATATTCATGAACACATGTAATATTTAATTGCTAAAATTTTCCACTGCAGTTAACTATTTCTGCAGGAAGTAATGCTTATTTAACAGCCAAAAAAAAAAAAATGCACATGAGGTTGAAGCACTAACATAAAACTCACAACAATATACTGGACTAACCATGTGTATTTTGGATCATTATATTGGACCCGCTCTTCAGCTCCACTTTAGCCAAATTCTCTGCTCCTACCATTATTCATCACCAAAAGACATCCTCTAATGGCAGGGATTTCAGGCACATCATGACAGTCAACCACAAAGGGCCCTCTCACCTTGCACATTTGCTCTCATGAGAGCTTCTGCCTGCACCAAATTGATGGACATGACCAGGTATCTCAGAGATAATTCATTTGGTGGAATCCATGTTATTTTCAGCGAAATTGATGAAACTGACTGATGGCTTTGTAATTACTGAAAAAATCGTTATGAAAAAAATTAGTTTGACTTTTTGTACCTGAAAACATTGGCTAAATAACTAATCTTTCCATTTTCCCACCAATTATTTTGACATCTTTTAAATGCAGTCAGAAGACAAATGCTACCCAATTTCCTTGTTATTAATTTTTCTTGGCCTCTCTGTCAGGATGTGGATGTAAATATCAGTTTGTACAAAATGGAGCTAGTTGGACATGCTTAATTTTTATGAAGCTAAGGACATAAATTTCTTGCATTAGTTCTTTTTTTCAATTAGGGTAAAACACTTTTCAATATTTCCTAGGAATTAATGACTTGCTTGCTGCTGTATTAGTTAAGGTAACGCTAGCTTCTGTTACAGGTAACCCCTAAATCCCAGCAACTTAATCGAATGGAAGTTTATTTCTCATTCACATAAAGATAATCACTGGTGGGGTCCCAGGCTGATGGAGGCTTCACCAGCCAGCAGATGAGGAAAGACAGACAGCAAGGACAATTAGACGGGTAGCTTTTATAAGCCCCGTCTGGGAATGACACACAGCACTTTTGTCCACATTCCACTGACCAGAACATAGGCATGTGATCTTACAGAGCTGCAGGAAGTGAGGAGGTGCCCTCTGGCAGGGTGGCTTCTTTCCAACAACTCTACACCATGGAAGGGAAGTGAAAACTTTTTTGGTGAAAGGACAGCTAGCCATCTCTGCTACAGTTGTTAAATCCTGGGAAATTATATTTTAGAAAGAGTGACCTCTGACCGGGTCTTTTTAGGTAAGTATTTTATAAAGCTTACCTAAAGTGACTGATTTCAGTAAAACAAATTAAATCAATATCTATTGAGCAAGCACCTACTATGTGTAAGTCTCTTGAGAAATCCTGTGGAAAAGTTGGGGGGGGTGGATACCAAGATGAAGGAAACATGGTCTGTCTCTCCACAAAGTATGACAAGGCAATGAACTTTTGTGTATATTATATACAGTCCATAAGATGTAATTTAGACCATAATTTTACTTCTAGAAGAAAAAAAGAAAAACGTTGCAAAGAGAATATTTGTTTTATTTTCTGATTAAATATTTTCACTGTTGGAAAATTTGGAAATTACCAAAAAGGTACAAATCAGTAATAAACCTTTAAATGTCCCTAATCCTATCACACAGGTAATCACTGTGAACACTTTTCCTGTTGATATTATACCCACATCTGCATATTTAAAAAATTATTTTATGAAGATAAATTTCAAAGCACCGAATTTAAAAACACCAGTTGACCTGTACTCACGTGTTTATAATCATGAAGAAATTCGAGTGAGCATGCCAACAAACTGTTTTTCTTTGCTGGTGTCTGGGACACCAAGGTTCATGATTTATCATTAAAAGAGAGGGGGGTGGGGGAGGAAGAACAGTTACATCAACTTTTAAGCATCTAACAAATAAATTAAAACGTATTGCTTCAAAAACAAGCACCATAAAAATGCATTGAAATCCCCTATATTCATTTAACATATGGCACGAGCAAGGACCCCAAGAATACGCTCTGGAAGAAACAGTTGACAAGGGCTGGGAGAATGAGGAGAACTTTTCTGGCAGTCATAACGGTCCAAAGGCAATTGGGCTCAGCCAGGAGCTCTCCATCACTGGAGGTGCTGGAGGACAGGCTGATTGATCTCTACTTTGGAATGTCAAAGAGGGGATCCACGCATTGGACACGAGATAGAGAGGTACCCTAAAGTCCTTTCCCACCTAGGGAGCATAGGTACTACCACATGTGTGGCCACACGCGGGGTCCCTGCAGGAGCAGCTCTGGAGCAGACCTTATTTGAGCTGTTTGGGATTATACATCTTGTGATAAAATTAACCTCACCAGAAGACCTCCTAGTTAGCTGGTGGGCCTGAAACAGGGCTTTCTTAGCAGGAAGAAGGAGGCAGTAAGGAGTTAATTGCATCATCATTGGCACTCCCGAGACAGCCCGAGAGTCACAGGAAAGTGGCAGGAGCCACAGGTGTGTTTTTTCAGGAGGCTCAGAAGTAACCCCAATGCCCTGTAAAGACCGTCAAGTCTTTATGTCTCTGTTTGGCAGCCACCCTCCTCTACCTCCACCCGCTCTTATTTCAGGTCTGGCGGTAGCAAAATGGGCCACATTCATCTCGGTCCTTTCCAGTTTGGGCCACGGAGACACAGCTGATAGTGTACAGCAGGCATCTTTACAAAAAAAATAGCTCTTTGCCGTATCTCTAATTCTCATTCAGTCCAAAGCTGCATCTTCTGACTGCTTTGATCAGAGTAGAGGAACTCTTAACTCTGAATAGAAAGGGAAAAACACGGTCAGTGAATTGTGCCATGAGTGCACAAAATCACATAGCTAGTCACAGCACTTCGACTTAATTGTCCATTGACGTTATAGAGTTTGTTCACCTCCCCCTCTTCTCCTCTCCTCAGTCAATTCACCTTAGCTGTTGTGAAAACAAAACAAAATTCCATTCTGGCTTTGAAATAAAATTGCAGCATAAACAATTGGTAGGTGTGTTTCCAAGTGGCTTGAGTGAAGTGTCACAGAGTAAGTAGGCGACCACCGAGGTTGCTAAAATATTTCCTGTCCTGACCAGGGTTGCGTTTCTGGAGAATATTTAACAGGGAGGGTTTTAATGCTTCTAAAGATGTTGAAACTAAAGAACAAATATTGATCCAGAGAGCACCACAACTCCCCTGAAAGAGAGTAAAAGACATCCTTTATAAAATGAAAAACTACTTGGCGGAAACAGTCCCAGACCGCTGCACAAGTAGCCCTCAGAGGGCCGAGGGGCCAGTTGCGCACGGCATGGCCCAGGCACTAACGCACCGGGCAGCACCGCAGATGCCCCTCGCTCTGGGAGGCCACGGTCTTCCCGCCAGACCGACCTGAGCCTCCAGCCAGAGCAATTGGGCCCCGAGGCCACCCCAGGCCGCAGCTGGCGGCCGCTGGCACCCGCGTTGGGTAACTAGGCCAGGGCTGGTTCCCGCGGCTCGCCGCCGCCGAAGAGTTGGGCTCCGCCGAGGCCACCCCGCGCGGCAGCTCCACAAGCCCCGGGCGGCGCTGGAGGTGAGGCTCTCGCCCAAAGGCACCCTCCCCGCGCCCGGGCGGCGGTGAGTCAGGGCGCGTTATGCAAGTCCTGGCCCGCCGGCCCCGGCGCCTCCCCCTCGGTCTTTCATCCCGCGCAGTTACGAAAGCGCGACCCCCTCCCCCCGGAGCTTTATATAATGCGGCCGGGCGGCCCCAGCTCGCCTCCCTAGCTCCACGCGCGCCCGGACCCGCGACCAGGCTTGAGCGCAGCTCCCGACCGTGAGCGGCGGCCCGGCGGGACCGGGGGGCAGGCGCGGGAGGGACGGGGGGCCGGGATGAACGGGATGGGGGTACGGGGGCAGGAGGGATGGGGGACCGGGGGCCGGCGGGATGAGGGCTCGGCGCGGGCGGGATGGGGTCTAGGGACTGGCAGTGACGGGTCGGCTGGTCCGGCCGCCAGGCGCTCACGGCGCGCGGTTCCCTCAGGGCGGACTCCTGAGCAAGATGCAGTGGGTGTGGGCGCTGGTGCTACTGGCGGCGCTGGGCAGCGCCCGGGCGGAGCGCGACTGCCGGGTGAGCAGCTTCCGAGTCAAAGAGAACTTCGACAAGGATCGCGTAGGTATCTGCGTCCCGGATGCGCCCCGTTCCCCTTTACCGGCGGCCGGCCATGCGCTCCCGGACACCAAACGCTGCTCTACTCCCTTCCCCAGTTCTCCGGCACCTGGTATGCCATGGCCAAGAAGGACCCCAAGGGCCTCTTTCTGCAGGACAACATCGTCGCCCAGTTCATGAACGAGAATGGCCACATGACAGCCACGGCCAAGGGCCGAGTCCGTCTCTTTAAGTCAGTGACCTATGGGGGGCTGCGCTCTGCGCTGCAGGGTCCCCCGGGCTGAGCGCCAAACCCTGTTTGGGGAGGGACGGGAGCACCCGGGGTGGGATGCAGGGAGCCCTTCGCCCAGCCTGGCTCATGATCCCCTTGGCTTCTGCAGTAGCTGGGACCTGTGCGCAGACATGCTGGGCACCTTCACAGACACCGAGGACCCTGCCAAGTTCAAGATGAAGTACTGGGGCGTAGCGTCCTTTCTCCAGAAAGGAAGTAAGTAGTCGGCTTAGTGGGACTGTCTTGGAGGATGGGAGCCATACCTAGCCAAAAGGCTGGGTTTCTCCTCCAGTGGCACCCTTGGGAAGAACGGTCTGTAAGCAACCAGAACTCTCAGCAGGGCTTAAAGCTAGAGGGGTGAAACTGCAAGTAGCCCGGCCCCTTCACTGCGCCCACCCCATCCCCCAGCTCAAAAACCTGGCCCAAGCTCAAAAGGCTCTTGGGCTTGTCACGTGACCTCCTCCTGCCATTTACCCATACTGCCAGTGTGCCAGGGGGTGTGGCCTTCTCCATGCTTAGACCACCCACCTCCTCAAGACCCAACTCACATCACCACCCAACCTGGTTTTGCATTTCCTCCGTTTCTTTAGGCTGGATCCCTGAGACAGCTTGACTACTAGGGGCCCAGCAGAGGCTCAGAGACTCTCATCCAAGGACGCAGGGGGCATTTATGCACAGGGTTGACTCATTCCAAGGTGCCCTACCTGCCGCTGCTGAGATTCTGAGCCAGGCACAGTGCTCTGGATGACAGTGACCTCTTCCCTTTCTCCCAAGCCCTGAAACTCACATGGGGAGCAGGGTGTTAAGGACTCTCAGAAGAGCGTCCTAAAATTCAGCCTGATGTAGATGTTCGAGAGCATACATGTATATGCTCTTTCTACTTTTTCCTCATTTCTCCTAAGTTTCAAATCTGCAGTCTACTTGGTACCTAGAGAGTAATGCAGGCCACGGGGGACATATCATGGAACCACAGAGATGGAGAGTTAACCCTGTGAAGGGGGTTCAACATGCAGATAAATAAACTGAGGTCAAGAGAAGGTAGGGCTTTGTCCAAGGTCATGCAACAAGTTTGTGAGAGCCAGTGTCAGAAGCCAGGGGTTCCAGCTCCCAGGTCAGGTTTAGGTGGCCCTGAACAGCAGGGACTCCTAATACAAACCAGCTTTTACAGTTTTACAGAATACTGTTGGAACTCTCCTGGGAGATAGGCCCCAGAGGGCTGTTCAGGGGGACTCTTAGCTTGGTGAGCCAGGGCAGAAGTGTCCTTTCATGCAGCCCATCTACACGGGGCACACACTCCTTGACTTCCTCTACAGTTGTGTTAGATGAGTTTTTACTTTTTTTTTTTATCGAATTGCATCTTCAGTATTGATTTACACTGTACATACGGAGTTGCTACTCAACGAGGGGAAAAAAGCTTTTATCCTTAGAGGTAATAAAGATTTTTTCATATAACGCAGCAAAACTTCCAAAAGTGATCCATTTAGAGTAAAAGATAAACTTTTCTGATAATGGATTACAAAAATCAGTACCACGGGGCACAAGGTTACTAATTTTTAGAATCTGCATCTTATCAAACAGATGAGCATGGCCACCGCCGAGCAGTCGTATGGCTTCCCCTGACCCCCACATCCCGGTGTCTGACACATTCCCCATGGGAAAGCCTGGGAGGTTCAGGGGTGGCTCAGCCTTCCTCCTGGCGGGCCTGCAGTGGGCTGAAGAGGGGCCTCACCACCCACCGCTGTGCAGCTCTCCTACAGGGCATGGGTTTGGGCTGAGCCCCTTCTAGGCAGGGACTCCCAGGGTTCTCAGAGCCAAGAGGCACACCCAGAGGTGACTTAGGCAAGGATTAGCGATCTCCCTTGCACCCTTAATGCTGGGGGATCCAGGTTCCCCTGCGCTACTGCAGCACAGGACATGACATAGAGCAGAGATCATCACTTGCCTCATGACCTGGGTGTGAAATGGAGACACGGAGGCTTTGCGTTTCTCGTTTCTTATCCCCTGTTGCCCCCAGTTTATTTATCACCTGGAGACAGCGTGGTGTAGAGGTTAGGTATGGGGGCTCCAGAGTCAGACTGAAACTCAGTTCTGTCCTGCTCTTTGTGATCCTGGGTGAATTACATAATTTCTCTGTGCCTCAGTTTCCTTATCTGGAAAATGGGGATGATAGTGTGCACTTTCAGGTCGTTGTGAAAAATAATTGAGAAAGCACAGAAAGTGTCCGTACAGTGACTGACACATAACTAAGTGCTCA